GCCAAGTTTCACGACTAAACTGGAGTGAGGATTACACTGCGCTCTAAAGTAGAACGGAGCCTGTTCGACCGGATCGCAGTGAATGGTCTTCTGTATGCCGTGAGACTAAGCAATCGAGTCAAATTCTGTCGAAAAAGGTGTTTCACTTAACATCACTCGCTTGCGCCGGCTTGATGGACGGACCGAAAATTGTGAGGAACAATTCAGCTGTCTTCTGCCTCACGAGTGAACCCGCATGGTACACGAGTTTCGCTACACCTAATCTTCTCGGACGAATATTCGGCACCCAGTGAGTTGCTAATAACGGTTTGCACTGAGTAGGGCAAAATCTTTGTCAAGTTGATTGCTTCAATGTGGCGTGCAGTTTGTGATGGTGTCTCGTCAACGTTAGATTACGGATAAACGGGTGTACGTTGGTCCTCCTCTTAAGCCTGAAGAATAAAAACAATCGGTGCTTCACAAGACCCGTGAAGGCCACAGCTCCAACCCTATTTCGTCATTCCTAATAACAACTGTTAGATGATGATGTAGAATACTAATTTGTTGCTGTAGAATATTCTGCAGTAAAGCGAACATTTGCAAGGAATAGGTCGACCGACTCAGCTTTTTAACTTAACCATCTTACCAATCTTATTTGTTTTCCTCACACTCACTTTTACGACCTTTCTTAAAGCTTATTTCACTTTTGCTTGATTTGCGACTGGCTACTGCTTGTCATCATTTTTTTTATTGTTCTAACTGTTTTTTTTTATTAAAAAAATGCAAACCCCGAGTTACTAATTCTATTTTGTGTGTTCACTTTAATTCTTTCCTGGTTCTTCAATTCACATTCAGATTGTTCTAGAAAACTACGCGTTTCCAGGGGCATTGATAATCGGCACTGATAGCCACACTCCAAATGGAGGTGGTCTTGGTGGTTTGTGTATCGGTGTGGGCGGAGCAGATGCTGTTGACGTGATGGCCAACTTGCCATGGGAGCTGAAAGCGCCCACCATCATCGGCGTCCATTTGACAGGCAGGTTATCAGGGTGGACCAGCCCAAAAGATGTCATCCTCAAGGTGAGTTTAACATCTCAACTGCATTTGTTTGCCCATGGCCACAGTTAACTTTACTTTTAAAGTACACTTATTTATCCAGTAGCGAATATAATCTCGCGCGCAAACTGAACTCTAATCTAACTTTGATTTCGTTAACGTCGTCGTGGTTAAAACGGTTTGTGTTGTTCACGGGCTTTTTGATAAATGTTCCTGTTTCGACTGCGGTAACGTGCTGCTTACAGTTTTCAGTGCTTTCTCGAACCAACTTAATCATATTATCGTTGTCATCGCTTCACCATCATCATTAACAGCAATATATTAGTGGTTTTCACTGATGCTTAACTGTCACACAACCATTGAAGGGAAAAGAAACCATGTACAGGAAGAGAATAAAAAAACTACTAAAAAATAGCTACGTCTATATTCAAACATTCAACATCAAGGTGCCTACACCTTGCAAACAAACAACCGAGCTGTAAGTGAAAGTAAGGCGTCATCAGCAAGACAGCTTCCTTACGGCTTTCACTGCCCGCATCATTAAGTGCACTCACTTCACAGACAACTCGGCCAAACAACGACAACATTCACGCCACTGAGCTCGATTAGCCGCCATCTCACCTAACGTCTCAAGCCACCGACTCTGTGAGTCGCGAGGGCCCCAGCCCGGGAGACGAACCCGACCTACAGTGGCCAACCCCTTCGTGAACGATTTCATTTGTCTACGCCAGGTCATCATCTGTCCACCTCGCACCTTACGCCAGTCGGCCGCAGCGTCGGCAAAAGTGCTCGGTGTGGCAGAACGACTAGCTGGCATCCTTAGTACATGACCTAACCATCTAAGTCTGTGCAAATGTAAGATTGAACAAAAGAACTCGTTTGACAATCAGTGCCAAACACCCGCTTCCTAACCTCCTCGTTGCTTACTCGCTGGTGCCACCCGATACGAGCGATCGAACGCAGACATCGGTGGTCAAATACCTGAAGACGGTTCACGTCCTCTACCCTGAGCGGCCAATTTCACTGCCGTAAAGTAATACAGCCCTCACTGTTGTCTGATATACGCGACCCTTAAGACTCAGAGAGAATACCTCTCTGTCGCCAGAGGTGTCCCAGATTAGAGAATACTGCCCCAGTCCTTAGAGATACGCGCTTCTATTTCATTCCCTACAACTCCACCGCCGCCGCTGAAGCATCGTCATCCATCATCATCATCATCGACAGCAATACATCAGTGGTTCACACTGATGCAGCTCCTCAAGTACACAAATCAGTCAACAACCTCCACAACTTCATTATCCAACATTAAATCTACGTAATCACAGCAATCTTGCAGAAGCACTTTGCATTTTGAGGCTGCAAAGCGCATTCCGAAGTACACAGCAGAATGTGAAATAGCGTCCAGCTTCTTTGAGCTGCTTGAAAATTGTCGAACGCCAACACCTTGTCGTCAGCATAATCGAGGTCAATCAGTCATTCACCAGGTAGGAGTTTTACGTGGGTATCTTATGAGTGTCACTGACAGTCTTCATTGTTAAGTCCATGATAAAACTGAACAAAAATGGTGAAAGGGACAGCCTTGACGTACGCCGCTCCTGGTGCTGAAACTGTCAGACAGTTCACCGTAAACCCTAACCTGAGCTGAAGTATGGGAATAAAGCGCCGACAGTATGTTCACATACTTGGTCGGTACACCCCTGCGTTTAAGCGACTCTAAAAGTGTAGATCGGTCTACCGAATCAAACGCACCTTTATAGTCGAGGAATACGGCGATTGTTGGCCGGCGGTACACATGACGCTGCTCCAGAATTTGACGAAGGGTAAAAATGTGATCTATACAACCCCGCCCAGGGCGAAACCCTGCCTGTTCTTCCCTAATGTTTGTCCTCCGAACTTCAGTGGGTCAACGAAGCACAATGGATGCCAGAATCCTAGAAATGACTGTTGAAGCGAGAGGCCTGGTGAGTTGACTCAAGTGTTCCGCCCAACGCTCTAACCTTCTGGACTTATTATAGATGAGTGTGCCATCTGTCTCGCTGATAGCTTCACTGACAGACGGTCGCCTGGGACCAGTAGCACGGATAAGTTTGAATTGTACCAATGTTCCCTGAAAGTAAAGCGGCTTCTGTTCCCTTAACTTTTTCCATTAACCAAGCCTCACGATCAGCCTTTAGACTACGTTTCAGTTTCCTACGGATATCTTCTAGACTTGTTATGTGAACTACCAGGAGGAATGTTCCGTCTGGCTTCTAACAACTCCAGGGATTTCTCCGAGAATCCAATGTTTGTTCACCCCACGTACCCCTGTGCCGCATGCTACAGTACCTGCTTCACGAATGGCCTGTGAGATTTGGGTCCAGCAGCTATTAGGATCTTCGGGTGAGAACTTCTAAGGCTGCTTTCTAGGTTGGTTTGGTACTTATGGTTTACCAGCGACATAGGCCAGTTTCTCAACAGCCAGTTGCTGCTGAAAACGAAACGACAACGTACCAACGCATGATCTGAACCCAAGAACGACAGTCCTGAATGGAACCCCACCATATACTACTATCTATCTGAGACCAGACCTGATTCGGAGAGAGAGGGCACTAGGTATAATACGATGCTTTGAACTAGTGTTGGCTAAAAATAGCTTATGCTCAGCGCACAGCTGCAACAGTCGCCCGCCATTATCCGAGCGATGTGATGCTATCCCAAACCTGCCACCTAAACGAGACTCGGCCTCACCAAGGCGGCCGACCTGGGCATTCATATCTACAGAACGACTGCGTCTAGAGCTGGCCTTAACAGAACCTGCCAAGCGGACGGCACAAAGTCTACTGTTAACAGGAATCCAATCTACTAATGCGGCTGCGGCGTCGTGCTGAGGACTATACCTACTCCAGCTTGACCGGTAGCGGCGGCCGTGGAGTCACCCGAAGTGTATAACCAGTATCGGGTAGACAGTGTGGGTGCTGTTAGTTCCATACGTTGACTACTGTCCTGGATTCTAGTCTCGAAATGCGACATCAACGAGTCTAACGTTCGTGCGAGAGCGCCTGTTGACCTATCTGTTTTAGAGTGCGAACGTTGAAGCACCTATATTAATTCGCATTCTAGGTCTAAGCAAGGGACGAGGGAGGCCTGAAGCTGAGTGGTAAGAGATGGGACTTACCGACACAGTGTTACTATGATTAGCTATATCTATTGTGGGACCTGCAGAGTAATCATCAGAAATGGGGGTCGGGGAGGGTGAGAGCTAAATTTGATAGGACAGTGGAGGAGGGGTCAGCAGTAGCATGTTTTCGCCTATCCACCCTGCTGTATGCAGCAGATAGGGCGACCCGGTTTATACTGCGAGACGGCCGATGCAGTATGGATTTATTGTTGTGAATATTCATGGTTGTGTGTGGGCTGAGATACTGCCAGGACGCCCAGACCTAGACAGGAGAACGATTAGGGTTCTCAACCAAAGCCTTTGGCAATGTACCAGAACTGGTACTTTTTCCGGAAAAAGATGCCAACCTTCTTCCAACCCCCAACCTGGAGGACCAGGAGACTGGTTTGTCAGACCTCTACCTATTGGCCTGCCTGGTATAAGTGACCCATCACTTGACATTACTCAATCAACACGTCACCTAATGTCACACGTAAAGCTTCGCCCTGTGTTGTAAACTTTGAGAACCTAACTTCACGTCTCGTTTAGACAGCACTACCTTATTCACAATCAAGAAATGCTTTTCCGCGTACTTCGTGATCTAGATAAAGCTGATAGCGTGGCCCACCTGAAAAGCATTCTTAATGTGGTATGTAGCATACTTATGGATGGTAAACCATTCAGCAGGATATCCTATCTAGGTTTGGGTAATCGGACACTATGCGCACCACATAACCTAGTACGGTACAGAAGCAAACGCTACGCGGTATTAAAGGCTGAATACGTAACTATAGAAATGATTTAGAAGATACCGAACTGCAAAATACCTTAACTTCGGCTGGACTGGGACCAGCAACAAAAACGTGTCCAAGTGCGGAAAACGCTCTACCAGCTGAGCCACAAAACCACACGTGGCCTCACGAAATTTACGTTTGCCTTCAATCACCCACCTAATCCACTGTGCCTTATGGAATCCGATGGATGACCCGGTAGATTGACTGCTCAAGCAAGATTTTTCAAACTGGTGCTGGAATCCACCTACGTCACTGTTGTGCATTAGACTTGTATTATTGATATGTATTGTGGCAGGTTCGCAGATTTCGCAAGAGACCGGCTGCAAAAAAGTTTTGACTGGACTGGAACCAGTGCCAGGAACAGCATGCGCAGAGGCAACGAACGGCCTATCAGCTGAACTACGTAACCACACCGGTTTCCTCGTTCGGCTCCCTATAACGTGATGGTTATGGCATCGGTTTTGAGTGTAAACATTCAATATTGAGTTCTCTCTCTATCAAGTGCCTCTGTTTCCGTTCACTCAACGTGATGACCTATAGTCCACAATTGACTTAGTTTGTGACATACCAACGGGTGCCGTTTTAGATTTAACTTGCTTTCCATTTGTAGTAACGACGTCATGTAAAGGCAACAGACAGTCTTTGCGAGTGCGTAAGTGGTCTTCATACTCCTAGCGTCAGATTTTATTCAATCTTCATTTCATGTGGTTGAATATAGTGAAAGAAACACCTAGCATAATGTCACTCGATACAAAGCGTGAAACAGAGTAAAGTGAATGCTACAAAATTCTTCCCTGTTCGGAACAGTTGAACGCAAAACGGCGCTCCCAATAAAAAGCGGATGTCTTCTCATGCCGAAGGTTGTCAAATCGGAATGATGGGAATCAGAAAGGCGTACCAGGTTCGAGTGCCCCGAAAAATAGAGAAAAGAGGATCGAAAAGTGTTTAGAAAGGGAGCACAAGTTCTTTCAATGTGTAGGGCCACCCGCAAGCGGTATCATTTAAATTCCAAGCAACAAAGTAGTAACGCTGTACGGACCCAAGCGTTGACGCTGATGATTCAGGCCATTCGGACCACATCGCACATTGGCTACCGAGTGACTGAAAACGCACCGTACAGCAAGAGATCGATTGACATTCACACAGTTCGTGTAGCTCGGCCGACGCACTTATCGACATTCTAGCTCTGTCTACACTCTCGGCGAATTGTATCGATGTGTATGCAGTGCTCCTGTCATGCTTTTAAAGTACTGTGAAGATACCGGTGATTGAAAACAGACGACCCTAAAGCATAACTCATACAAGCAGACCAAATCTGACTGCGCTTTATATTTGAGGTGTTATGCACTTCGCCTTTCAACACTTAGTTGCCATCGTGCCGATGCCACATGTGACAAGGTTAACACGTGTTCAGGCTTCGGTTGTTAAGCCAATACTCTTCTCTTAAAATCATTTATGCGTAATGCGACTACCTCTCCAGTCATATTTCTGTTTTGTCTTCAACGTTCCATGAATAGTGAACGCAACTGGAGTGAACGTTAACTACAAACCGGGACGACAGACTGATCTCGCCGTTTTGTCTAGGATGTTTCGTATAGCGCTACACATTAGGACATTATCATCAGCAATCAAGCATCAGTGTGAACCACTGATGTATTGCTGTCTATGATGATGATGATAATCATCAGCATATCCTAGAGTTCGGTGTCGGTCAGTGTAGAGTATTCGAGCACATTCAACGGTCAGCCGGAGCGCTTTCTAGGATGTTGTCAGTAGTTTGATTGATCGAGGACGATGAAGTCTATCAGTCTTGCCTCGCATCGCTTGTGATGATAATACAAGGTGGGAATTTGCATTCATTAAGTCGGAAATCCAGCGATTAAATATTTTTAGCATGTTGACACTTCGGAGATGAGTCCTTCCATGCGAGACATTTCTGACAGCTGAGTCGTTTGCTAAAATGTCACAAATAACTGCCTTCTGTATCCCAACAAATAACAAATTGTGTAAACTTTATGATAAAATCCATCAAAACCAAGACAACTTCAAAGTCGCAGTACGTTTCTTCCATTGCGTATCCCAATCCACACTTCACAAACACTTTCGTGCCGTATTGAGGTCAACCTTTAAAAAGCATAACAGCCGGTAACTGGAGTGCTATGGAAATTGTTTCATATCTTCATCATTAGCGACAGGTTGCGGAGACCGCTCTTGAAGACAGAGAAACTCGTGACCAGGCCGAATCCGGTTGGGTTGACTTTCTCATTCCAGAGCTTTTGTTGCAAGACAGCCAGTCCCTTGATTAGGATGGAGGAGATCCACTTGATCCGGGTCTTTTTTCATATGTCATATTTCCGAGGCATCACGAGACTTCATATTCCGTTAAGAATGAAACGTCCACCAGTCAAACTGCATTGCTGGAGCCTTAAGACGAAATCAGCTATGCGAATGGTCAGTCGAAGTAGTTCCCTCTATTGTGTTGGTTGTGTGACTGTACTCTGGCGTTACCCAGTTGGAAATTTTACAGCGTCAGCTTGCACTTCCAGAACGTCACATGGCCTGAGAAGCGCGTGGAGCATGGGTACTGATATCATAGACAGTTCGCTCTCGCGTTCAGGATGGCGTTGTTCTTACGCAGGTTTTTCAAATACTGCATTTGTTCGTCATGTCGCATGCGTGAAACGAGGTCCACTTGCCTTGAATTCGAGTCAGGCACGCAACTTTTGAAAGTGATCTCTCTTTCTACACATTTTGCTTACTGCTTTGCGAACGAGGTATTTAGAATGCGGATTTGCACTGTGTCACAGAATAGGCACTTGTAGCTAGCTGGTACTCCAATCATGTGTATCTTCAACCAACCATTTGAAGTAACCAGAGCTGCGAGAAGGCATGTTACGGGGTGTCCGTGTTTAGATTTTACCGTGTCAGCTGTTTATTAAAAAGCACTTGTTCATATGCTTCCAATGCACTGCGACAACGATTAAACGGAACGAACAACCTGATTAATATTATGAAGTTTTCTGTACACTCACAACACTGGATGTCATTGTTTGATCAGCGCGGAGCTTCACCGATCGCTAAGAGTTTGGGATTGTGTTACGTAGCGATACAGTGAACGAGTTGATGGTGTCTGTGCCCCCACTTGTTACCATGGTGTATTTCTTAGTCGACGATTCGACTTTTGTCAACTGCCCACTTGGTTATCTGTTTGCGTCGTTGAAAGTGTCAACAATTTAAGGAGGTGTTTGTTCGTCTGCTGATGCAGCCATCAGTCGATTCTGCTAGTGTGGACTTCACTGTAACTGCGAGGTAACTGATCGGTAATGCGTTGGACAGATTGACTAACTGGGTTGAATGTGGCGTTCGTGAAACTTACTCTCTGGGTAAAGGCGATTGACATAACTCAATAATGGAGTGTGTATGGTTCAGGCTGGAATAAAGGTCACGACGCATAGTGCTGGTGAGGTTATCCCTATAAACTGAAAGCCTCAGAGAAATTGTTTTCTTGCGCACCGTAAGCAACAACGGTCTTTCCGGTTCTGTTTGCTGCACATGTCAATAGTTTAAGACCACTCGTTTGTTAACAGCGTTTAGGCTGCTAACTCTCTCTTTTGTCTTCCGTGTAGGTCCTTTCACTTTCGACGAGGCCATGTTTGTAAGAACAATAAACGCGGAGCCAGCAATTTGACCTTAGCTTTGCGATGGTCAGACCGCCACCCCTGTACCATTTTGACGTCTCACGCATGAAATACCTAAAACTGGTAGACTACTGCCAGATTCGGCTTCGCTGGTGACTTTTGTATTGGACTGTATTCATATTGTTATAAAGTGAACGAAAATATTCACCGCTGATAAAAGCCAAAGTAGGATCAACATACGGCCTTTAAAGTATGGTTGTGACAATGCTATCGCTATCGCAACGCGTTTGCGGCACCACATTCAAAATGCATGGTTAAATGTCGACCATACTGTTACTAGACTGATGTTTCGTTTTACTTTTGGGCTGTACAGACCTGTACAGTCCCTCTAAACTTAGAGGATGCAACAATGGACACTGTCCTCGAGACCTCAAAACACCACAAGTATGGTATTGATTCGATGTTTGTTTGGTCATCTTGACCTACGACCTTACGTCACTAATTCGTGTGATCTTCCTTGTTCAGGTGGCTGAGATTCTCACTGTGAAAGGCGGAACTGGTAGTATTGTGGAATATTTCGGATCTGGAGTCGATTCTATCTCTTGCACTGGAATGGCCACAATTTGTAATATGGGAGCTGAAATTGGAGCCACAACCTCAGTGTTCCCGTTCAATGAGCGAATGGTCCGACTTTTTGAAGATGACAAATCGGGCTGGTATTGCACAGTTGGCGAAAGAGCACAAGGTGAGTCAAACATGCTGAGTTATTATATCGACTGCACAAATTGTTGTATGCTTGTGTAAGACGAATATTTTTCCTAGAGATGTTAAGCCAGGTTTTCAATGTTTTCACCACGAGGAATTCTTCTGCACGTGACTCAATCAGTCGTATACGCGCCTGGTCGATCAGGCTATTCAACCATAGGCAAAAGCAGTCAATGTAAGTGGAGCCTGAACCTGTGATTGCGTTTTCGATGGTCAACGTCATTTCTACCCAGCTACCTCGGACCGTAATAAACAGCAAGTTTTCCGTCTGTTCATCGAACCGGTTTCATTTAGTAAAATGCCAATGGGCTATTTGAACCACATTTTCCGACGATGCACGATTCTTACGGATTTGTTTATTTCTTGATCACTGGGTTCCTATTTTTCTCAGCGACTAGAAAACAAGTTAATTGGCTGGTCCAACGATAAAACTTTATCATGTGGTGTCCTGTTGACTGTATACTGAATGCCGGGGAACTCTTTCGAAGCTGAGTGCATTTTATGTTAGTCGTGCTAAGTCTGTTTCATTATCAGGTAATCTAAGGAACGATGTGAGGCTCTCTTGCTTCTCAGAGGTTACGGAACAGCTAGATTGAAATTCAAACTAATTCAGTGATTTCAAAATTCAAGGTCATTGAGTCTCTCTAGAGTCGCCTCATATGTCTCAGTCTGGATTTGAACAACCTGGCTGTTTATCTCATAGGGCACTC